GTTTTTTTTTTAATGAAAGTCTGAAATTAGTACTTTTAATTGATTCATGCTTTATAACTGGAAGTTTAAACATATGCTGCCATTTAACTTAAAATCATTTTCCTTGAAATTTTTCTAATGGATTATAAATAAACTATTCTTCTTTTATCTGTTTAAAAAGGTTTATATTGTTCATAATAATACAAATCTTTATATTTCATTTAAAATGTACACAAAGAAAGATTAGGGACAAGTAAATGTAAAATCAACCTGCCAAGCAATTTTCACTCTATCCACCAGATTACATCTTTCCAGTTTTCTAATATTCTAGAACATTATGTCTAGGTGTATGAGACTTCTGTATCATGAATATTTATTTTATAAATTATTTCTTGGAACTCTGTTAAAATGTATCAAAATGGAAAGTTATATTCTTCACCAGCAACCACATTCATTTCCTTTTTTTTTTCAACAGAGATAGTGTGCAACCCAAATTGTAAAATGTTCAAATTCAGTGGGATAAATTGTCAATCTGCCTTCTCAACTTTGACCTTCATCATCCATATTCATGTTTATTCTCATGAATAATATCTACATAAAATCACCAAACATTTCTAGCTTCCTATTTTCTTGTGAATCACCAAGCAATCCTGCTCCCAACAGACCAACCTGGGCAACCAAGTTTGAAGAATAAATGATAGCATGATGACAAAATGGATAAACCCTTAAATATGTAAAAATTTGCAGCTGTTGAATCTTTTCCAGCCATGACTCCATTACATACTCATAACCACCCTACAAAACAAATAGTCAGTAATCATCATTCCATTTAATACACAAAGACATAGGCTCAGGGCCGTTAATGATTTGTGCCTGAGGTTATAATGTTGGTGAGAGATGGGTGGAGTGAGCACCAGCACTAAATAAGTTTTAAACACCAGCCATGGTCTTCCTGGTATTTGCAGGAGAAAAAATTCTCAAGCTATAAGGAAAAGTATAGAAACAATTTTGAGGCTAGGAAGAAACCTGCTGCGATCCAGCTGGATATAAAGCATGAAGAGAAAATGCTCTGCTATGTAACCCTTGACAAATGGAGCCATGGTATTTTAAGTGGGGCCTCAGAGTTAACCTAAATCTAAGAATTTCCACTTTAAATAGCAACAGGCACTGATAACAAAGGCCAGAGCCACCAACACAAAGATGCATTTGCAGGGACCCAGTATGAGATGAGTTCTTCCACCACTGGCCCCTCCAGATTCCCCCATCTGAAACAGCTCTCAGTCTCCTCAGAATCCCATAGCACACAGCATTCCACTAAAGCACCTATATGCTCCACTTTCTGAGTGACTGCATCTCTGAATCATGTCTTGCCCTTTTGAAATAAAACACATTTAATATATCACCTAAATCAGATTCTCGGAAAGTAGAAACAAGACTTTAGTATTTTTTTAAAAGGTTGTCAGTTGACTGTGATACATACTTGGGTTTATTTAAGGCTATGCTTGAATGTATAAACTGCTAATTACTTTCAAACCATGTTTATTGAGCACCTACTACACGTGAAATATAAAAAAGAGGATCTACTAAGGAACAAGCTACTAATTCTAAATTAATATGCATTTAAAAATTTTGGTGACAACAATTGCCTTTTTAAATTGCTTTGCTTTATATATATATATTTTTTCATATATATGTGTATCTATATGTATATATATACACACACACTTCTTGTACTTATATATGTTATATATGGATAGATGATAGAAGATGATAGATAGTTGATAGATTCTTAACTCAGTCACAAAGTTAGCAGCTCAAGCCTAAAACCTCTTTTATTGTGGTTAAATACTGTAACTGACTTTAACTACGCATATATTCTCTTTTTGGGGATAATTCTCCAGGACCACGTGATAGTCTCTTTGCTCTCAGGCCCACCACATGTCATCTTGCCTGTGCTAGACCTTCATATCTTTCTCTGCCTTAACTTAACCCTTTCTTTCAGTGAGCATTCTTCTAGTAGCTCCTGAGAAAGGTAGATACATTTGAATTCTTCACTCTTCCTTCATATTTGATTGATAATTTAGATTGGTATAGAAGTCTAAGTTAGAAATAATTTCTTCCATTTTGAAGACATTGCTTCTTCACCATTTTGCTCATGTTGTGGCTATTTAGAAGTCTGATGTCATTGGATATCCAATTTTGTGAAACTTACCAGTTCTTTTTTTTTTTTTTCCCATCCTTTCTGGAATTTGAATATTGTTGGTACCAGGTGTTGTTGGGCATTCGTTGTACTGAGCATTTGGTAGAAAATGAATCATTTCGGGTGCTTAAGTAAAAACATTAATGTTCAGATTCCCCTCCTGAAAGATTCTAATTTCATTGTCTGAGTGAGGCCTGGGCACCATTTTCTAAAATTTTCTTGAGTAAATTCTACTCTACAGCCAGAGTTGAGAAGCATTGGTCTATATTAGTGTTTTTCAAACTTCAGTGTGCATACAAATGTCCAGGATCTGACTGAAATGCAGGTTTTGACTCAGAAGATCAGGGGAGGGACCTGGGAATGGGCATCTCTAACAAATGTCCCAGTGGTACCAATCAGGGTCCACACATGGAGGGAGCTCTATTCCCTGAGAGTTTGGAAAGAAAGATGTACCCTGGGCTCCCAAACTACATGAATCAGTATCTGTTCTTCATTCTGATCTCTTGATGATTTTTATGCACTTCAAATTTTGAGAACCTCTGTTCTAGAGAAAATACGTTGAAGATAAAGAAGAAATTATTCAGACTGGACTGACTCCTAATATGCTAATGCAATTTAGTTAAGCAACAACATTTAAACATTATTGGGTCTGACTTTTAAAAAATCCAATAATTGGGGGTGCCTGGGTGGCTCAGTGGGTTAAGCCGCTGCCTTCGGCTCAGGTCATGATCTCAGGGTCTTGGGATCGAGTCCCACATTGGGCTCTCTGCTCAGCAAGAAGCCTGCTTCCTCCTCTCTCTCTCTCTCTGCCTGCCTCTCCGTCTACTTGTGATCTCTCTCTGTCAAATAAATAAATAAAATCTTTAAAAATAAATAAATAAAAATAAAAAAATTAAAAAAATAAAAAATCCAATAATTGGAGAGGCAGTGTATGCATGGAGGCAGAGGGGATATGGGAAATCTCTGTCCCTTCTACCCAATTTTCTATAAATTTAAAACTGTTTTAAAAAATAAAGTCTGTCTATCAAAAAAATCCAATTAAGCACATGGATGGGGGGGAGTTATAAGCAACACTACTTAGTTTCTGGATCATGTTTTTTTCTGAGAGATTCATAAGGACCATAAATACATTCTCCGGGGGCAGGGGGAAGCATGCAAACTGGTATTACAGACAAAATCTTGCATAAAATCAGGGATTTGTGAATCCCTTGATGACTATAGTACCTCCAGTTTAAGAATTCCTAGATGATAAGCTTTTATGCATTATTTCACTCAATGAACATTGATTGAGGAGCTATGATGTAATAGGAGCACTGTTGCAGGATATCTGTGCACAAATAAATAATTCTGTCCTCATGGAACATGCAGTCTTGTGGCAAACAGTAGGGTCTTTCTGGGCATATTCATTTTGAAATTACATGTCTTTGAAAAGCCATATTGAAAGAGGAGGAAAACATATCTGGAGACAGAACTACAATAAAGTGTTAGTTAATTAGAACCAAATTTCATTCACAGAAATATGTATCTCAGAAGGAAACATTCTCATAATTACTCATTTATAGGAACTTTCATCCCATCACAAATTGACTAAGCATCAAAATTCAATCAATAGCAGTTCAGATCTTTTCCAAAACATCTATTAAAAATGTAACTTAAAAAGAGATCACATCGTTGGGAGAATGTATTAGGAAAAGCTAAGAAACTCAGCTGTAAAAGTGCATTTTATCTGAACCTGGTAAATCGTTTATAGGACCTAGATTATATTTATCAAACACTCTGGGTGATTACTGAGATATAAAATTACATTAAATGAAACAAGGGTCTTAAGATATACATGAATATAGACTTTGATTTATCTAATTTCTAATGATTCAAAATAATAATTATTTTCTACTTTTGAACAAAATTTTGATGAAGGTTCTTGTGTTTCCATCTTAACAGATATTGGAGGGAAAAAAAGTATATTTACTCCCTTGTGGTTCATTATTAGCAGACCTACTTTCTCTCTCCAACAGCTATTTTTATAAATACCACTTATTGACATCAGATAGGAGAAAGACAAAAAAAGGGAAGAGGGAGAAAGGAAAAAGACAAAGGGGGCAAAGGGGAAAGTAAATGAGTAAAATGAGGACAAAACAAAGAGCGAAAAAGAAAATGAGAGCATAAGGGTTAAGAGAAAGAAATGTGAAAAGTGAGCAGATATAGGGGGATACCACAGTTATCCCTAAGATTTATTCAGTGATTTTTACTCATTATATACCTTTTTAATCTATTGCCTGAGGGGTACCTGGGTGGCTTATTCACATTTTCTTAACCTACAACCCAACATTCCATAAGATAAAAATGACATTTGTTTGATCTGTTTTGGCTATTCTTGGAGAGCTGATTATTTCAGTGTGGTCCAGAAATTGGATTCGTAAGTCATAGTGGGCTCACCCTAAACAAGGTCCTGGAATGGATTTTTTTTTCTAATCCAGAGAGATAATGAATTAATGTGTAAAATAACTGGTTGATGTATTTTTCCCCAATAACATTCTGAAAAAATCATTTTAAATGTGAAAAGTAAATAAGACTAATTTGGGAGGATAAGCATGCCAGTATGTCCCAGAATATTCTTAGAGGAGCAATGAGGAGGAAGACATACCCTTTCAGATATCAAAATATATTTAAAAGACAGATCAAACAAGATTGTAGAGATGAATAAAACCATATAGAAAGTCTTAAAATTTATTTAAAATTATATGTAAATTTTATATATGTCAAGATATGTTAACTAAAAAAATGATATTGATATTAAAAATAAATGTGGAAGCCTGGGACCGGGACCCAGCCTCTCCCCTACCTGAACACCAGCCCCAACTCCACCGAGGCCCCTATCCCCCAACCCCATCTCGCCACCACCACCACGGCAGACCCTAAAGATGCCGATCTTCCTGACATTGCCAGGAACGAGCCAGATGTTTATGAAACCAGTGACCTGCCTGAAGGTGATCAAGCCGAGTTTGATGCAGAGCTGGAGAAGCTGAGGAGCACAAGTGTGGAGCACATCATTGTCAATCCCAATGCTGCCTATGACAAGTTCAAAGACAAGAGAGTGGGGACAAAGGGACTTGATTTCTCAAATCATACTGGAAAAACCAAGAGAACAGGATATGAATCTGGAGAATATGAGATGTCTGGGGAGGGCTTGGGAGTGAAGGAGAAACCCCAGCAAAAGTACCAGCAACTATTGCATGAGGTCCAAGAGCTGACAACTGAAGTTGAGAAAATCAAGACAATGCTGAAGGAGTCTGCCACTGAAGAGAAATTGACCGCAGTGGTGTTGGCTGAACTACTGGCTACCCTGAAGCAGCAGCTGGTTGCTTCCCACCTGGAGAAGCTGCTGGGACCAGATGCAGCCATCAACTTTACTGACCCTGATGGAGCTCTGGCTAAGTGCTTGCTGCTGCAGCTGGAAGCCATCAAAAACAGCAAAGGAACCAGTTCAGGGGGAAAGACCACCGGCGGGACTCCTGTAGATAGTAGCCTTGTCACTTATGGACTACATTCTCGGCCTGAACAGGACAAGTTCTCTCAAGCTGCTGAAGTTGCTGAACTTGAGAAGTGCCTGACAGAGCTGGAAGCAATCATACGCTGTGATCAGGATGCTCAGAATCCCCTTTCAGCAGGTGTGCAGGGAGCCTGTCTCATGGAGACTATAGAACTATTGCAAGCAAAGGTGAATGCCCTGGACCTTGCAGTTTTGGACCAAGTGGAGGCTCGGCTACAGAGTGTCCTGGGAAAGATGAATGAGATTGCCAAGCATGAAGCTTCTGTAGAAGATGCAGATACACAAAGCCAGGTGCACCAGCTATACGGCACTGTACAGGGCTGGAGCCCCATTTCCTCCACCCTTCCTGAGCTGGTGCAGAGACTTGTCACCATCAAGCAGCTGTATGAGCAAGCCATGCAGTTCGGTCACCTCCTGACTCACTTGGATACCACACAGCAGATGATTGCTAGCTCCCTCAAGGACACCACCACCCTCCTGACCCAGGTGCAGGCAACCATGCATGAGAACCTGTCCACGGTTGAAGGGAATTTTGCCAACATTGATGAATGGATGAAGAAGCTGGGTAAGTGAGCACCTTTAGGAGATGGAGAATGAGGGTAATCCCTACCCCTCTGAACTCTGTTAACAGCTTACATAGGTTTTCCCCTTAATTATAACTCTCGCATCCCCATACCATTTGACATTGGGGGCAAAGGGGTTCTTCTTGCATGTGGGGTTTACACCCCTCCTCTGAGGAATACAGAGTGGTAGCTGGGGGACATTAGATGGTAGTCTCCCCTCAAGCCCCAGGGATGTGGGCCCTGCCACATGCCAGTTCCTGTCCAGTACTGCTTTGCCTGAGGCAAGGCATGATTGGGTCCTGTCCTCCAGCACAGTTCCCATGGCTGGCTACAATTCTGTACAACTCTTTCTGACCGTTAAAAGCTGTTGTACTCTGAAAAAAAAATAATAATAATAAAATAAAATAAAAGTGGAAGGATAATTTGTTGGGGCACCTGGGTGGGTCAGTTGGTTAAGTGTCTCCCTTCAGCTCAGATCACGATCTAAGGGTCCTAGGATTGAGCCCCACGTTGGGCCACCTACTCAACAGGGAGTCAACTTCTTCCTGCTCTCTGAGGCTTAAGAGTCAGACAAAAGCTGAGCTCTCAAAAGGAATTATGGAAGCCTGAAGACAATGGAATATCTGTCATAGTGGTAATAGGGGTCATAACTAGGAAGACACAAGAAGGAAGCTTCTAGGTTGCTGCCAATGTTCTTTACCCTAGCTGGTGTATGCATGAATATGTGCATTTTGTAAAAATTCCTCTGGCTGCACATTTGTGAGTTGCATATTTTTCTAAGTATTGTTTCAATAAAAAAACTTTATCAAAAATCTCAGAAAAAATATGTAAATCAATATTTAGAGACATGGAATGATGCCCATACCAGCTTTTCAAGTTCTATTTGAAATAACATGTAACCTATAATCCTACTTGTAATTTTTAAAATTATATACATTTGTAGTTTTTACAGAAATATAAATGCATGAAGAAATGCATGGTCATCAAAATGGTGAATATTATCTCTGAGTGGTAGACATAAGGGTCAGTTTTACTTTCTTCATATTTTTTTCTGTACTGTTTGAATTACCTTTTAAAATAAGCATGATCTCCTTTTCATAATAAAGTTATTTTCATTTTGTAAAATAAAAAAATTAACATCCCAAATCTCCATGTTAAATATAGAAATGGACCAGTGCCAATTACAAACAGAAGATTTTCCAATATTAATGGAAGCTGCAGAAAACCAGAAAAAATCAGTCTCCCATACCTTCACAAAAGAATTTTATATTTTTTTTCTGTGCTTTTCATTTTATGCTAGTAATTTGGGGAATAATAAAAATGTCTGATGTTTAAAATAAGATATTTTTATTTAGTACCAATTTCTGATGTTCAGTTATCTTCAAGGATCCTATGAACTATAGATTACAACAGCTTATGATACAACTACAGATTATGATAAATTTATTACTGTATTTTATCTCCTGGAATAAATGCTGATGGAGCAGTGTATTTTATTAAACATCACACTTAAAATAATTAAGTATGTGTTAAGATTACACATAAAATAGTTGTGACTCTTAAGTATATTAACAAATTTGTTAAAATTTTCATACTTTAACTTTTTTAAACTTTAGCATCTTAATTTTATTTTATTTCATGGTAAGTAGAGAGGGATGTAAGGGGTATTGAGGAGAGGTAGAGCCAAAAGCAAAGAAGAGAGGTATCACCTTTGATGATTTCCTGATGGATGGTAAACAGAGGTTTTATTTTTTCCAGTGTTCTAAGATTCATTGTTTACGCACCAATCCCAGTGCTCCATGCAATATGTGCCTTCCTTAATACATTAATACCCACCACCAGGCTCACCCATCTCCCCGTGCTCTCCCCTCCAAAACCCTTAGTTTGTTTCTCAGAGTCCATAGTTTCTCATGCTTCATCTCCCCCTCTGGTTTACCCGAATTCAGTTTTCCTTTCCTTCTCCCAATGTCCTCCATGTTCTTCCTTATGCTCCACAAGTAAGTGAACCCATATGATAATTGACTTTCTCTGCTTGACTTATTTCACTCAGCATAATCTCCTCCAGTCCCATCCATGTTGATACAAAAGTTGGGTATTCATCCTTTCTGATGGCTGCGTAACATTCCATTGTATATATGACCATATTTTCATTACTCATTCATCTGTTGAAGGGCATCTTGGCTCTTTCCACAGTTTGGCATACTTTAATTTTGATGTACACATTGATCAGGGTTACGAAACTGTAAAACTGTGATGGTAGGAATTATACTCAGCTAAGTTTTGTATGCCTAATCGATAACACCATGCCAGAGAAATAGAAACTATCCAAGGAAACTGTTGCTTTATTTGAATTGTTTGCTAATTTTCATACCAATCAAAATAACATATTAATATATTTTTAAAATAATTAAAGCTTAGGGTCTTATAATAAAAAGTAATAGTCTCTATTCTGCCTCCTCTCTGTTCCCCGGACACAAATGTCTGGTTTTATTCTTCCAATTGCCTCCACGGCTCTAACTTATTTGCATATATATATATGCAAAATATATATATATATATATTTTTAATTAAATGCCTTCTTGAAACACTTTCTAGTGAATGCTTGTGTGGTAGATGAAAACTTTAAGCTCACCTATACCACTTCTTTTGTAAGTATACTCAGTTCCTCTCTTGGCCATTTCCTCTTCAGTAACACACTAAAACTTCTGTTACCATCCATCAGGAAATCATCAAAGGTGATACCTCTCTTCTTTGCTTTTGGCTCTACCTCTCCTCAATACCCCTTACATCCCTCTCTACTTACCATGAAAGCACAATATGAATTTTAAAATTTTACCAGTATACACATTGCAGGTTATTTTTTTCTAACTTGACTTTCCATTTGAAAACAGTAGATGGCATTTATATTATTTCAAATTTCAATTTGAAGCCTAGTATAAAATGTGAGAACTGCATCATTTTCCCCCTCAACTCAATTTCACTAATCTTGTCCCACTCAAAAGAAAGTATTCTTGGAGTTAACTTCAAATGGGTTGATCTTTTTTCATCTCTTATTACAAACCTAAGCGTGTGTTTGTTTGTAATATCTCAATATTTCTATTTATTCTCTTTATTTTCCTGAGAATCTCCTCTAGTATTCAGCACCATCCCTCCCTTCAAATCCTGGTGGTCTTCTGTAGAGACTGGAAGTCTGGAAGCTGTCTTTCTTAAGCCTCCATTCCAGCAGTCTTGTGGTTTCCATGACACCATGATAAGTATTGCTTCAGGGCTGGGAAGGGAAGGAAAGAAGCCTTACACTCTTCAGATATTGATAGACAACAATGGACTTTGAGGTTTACTGTACATTCTGGGTTTTCTCTTGAAGATACCTGCTTCACTGCTGTAAACAGCTGAGACAGTGAGCAGCATTTTCTTGTGGTCTCTGAAATTTCCTGGTTTCCTGAGAAATTTCCTGATTTCCTTAGATTAGAAGCATCTAATTATCTACAATTATTTAATTGCCTATTGTTAATTTCTCTTCCACCCCAAATATCTAGGATAATTTCTGTTTTTGTGACTGATACCCAAATGATATACCCTCCAAACTCTTGCTCTAATCTGGATAGTTTCTCTTTCTTTAAATTAAAACCTAAATTTACATTTTTTATTCATTAAGTTCCATTCACAAGTCATCTGGCTTGGATCCACTGTTTCTTAATCTATGTATTTGTCTTTTTACTTATTTCTCTATGTTTCTTCCTAAGAAAATGAACAATGAAATTGGTTTAATTTGGTACAATGAGAAATTAGAAATTAGTCATGTATTAATTATTTAGGTTAAAAATATCTCTGTTATGCATTTGACAAAATGCAACATCCATTCATGATAAAAACCCTCAACAAAGTAGTTTAGAGGAAGCACACTTGAACATAATAAAGTCCATATATGAAAAATCTACAGCAAACATCAATGTTCAGTGGAGAAAAACTGAGAGCTTTCTGCCTAAGATCAGAAACAAGACAAGGATGTCTACTTCCTCCACTTTTATTCACCATAGTATGGGAAGTCCAAGCCACAGCAGTCAGAAAACAAAAAGAAATAAAAGGAATCTAAATTGACAAGGAAGAAATCAGGCTCACTATTTGCAGATGACATGATACTATATGGAGAAAACCCTAAAGACTCCACCAAAAACCTTTAAGAACTGATAAATGAATTGATAAAATTGCAGGGTACAAAATCAATATACAAAATCTATTGCAGTTTTATAAACTAACAATGAAGTGGCTGAAAGAGAAATTAAGGAAACAATCCCATTTATAATTGCACCAAAAGTTATATACTACCTAAGAATAAACTTAACCAAGAGTTGAAAGATCTATACTCTGAAAACTATAAAGCAATAATGAAAGAAATGGAAGATGACACAAATAAGTGGGAAAATATTCCATGCTCATTAATTTGGAGAACAAAAATTGTTAAAATGCCCATACTATCCAAAGCAATATACAGATTCAACATAATCTCTATCAAAACACCAAAAGCATTTTCCACAGAACTAGAAAAAATAATCCTAAAATTTATATGGAACAGGAAGCCTCCAACTATCCAAAGCAGTCTTGAAAAAGAAAAACATAACTAGAGGTTATCACAATCCCAGATTTCAAGACATAATACAGTAGTATTCAAAATAGTGTTGTACTGGCACAAAAACAGACACATTGATCAATAGAATAGAATCAAGATCCCAGAAATGAGTTCATAATTATATGGTCAATTAATCTACAACAAAGGAGGCAAGAATACTCGCTGGAAAAAAGATAGTCTCTTCAACAAAGGGTTCTGGAAAAACTGGATAGCCACATGCAAAGGAATAAAACTGCATCACTTTTTAACATCATACACAAAAGGAAGGTCAAAATGGATTAAGGACCTAAATACGAGACCTGAAACCATAAATATCCTAGAAGACAGCAGTAATTTTTCTGACATCAGCCATAGCAAGAATTTTCTAGATATGTCTCCAGAAGCAAGGGCAACAAAAGGGAAATTAAACTACTGGGACTATACCAAAATAAAAAGCTTTTTCACAGCAAATAAAACAATCAACAAAACTAAAAGACAACCTCCTGAATGGGAGATGATATTTGCAAATGATATATCCCATAAGAGGTTAATATCCAAAATATATGAAGAACATATACAATTCAACACTAAGAACTAAATAATCCAATTAAAAAAATGGGCAGAAGACAGGAACATAAATTTCTCCAAAGATACATAGATAGCCAACAAATACATGAAAAGATGCTCAATATCACTAATCATCAGGGAAAAGTAAGTCAAAACCACAATAAAGATATCACCTT